AAGGGCATTCTCTAAGTTTTACCAGGAAGGATGTTCAAGTTATATCTGATTCCATCTTCAGGTGTAAGGTCCTTAAGGTAGCTCACTGAGCTGTAAGCAGCCTCAAGTTTTATCGTTATGTGGCCCTGTTCACTTTTGTGTTGTTTTTTGCTGTGATGTCCACTCCTCAGTTTCACTGCTTTTTTTGGCTAGTATTTGCCTATTAGCTAAAATAAACACTTGCCCTCTGGAAGATTTACTCCCCCCCCTTCATGACCATATGATACGGCACTGGATTAGTTTAACTGACAATTGCGCGGTCAAGCAATGCTGTACATAAATGAAATTAATGTAATTTGTTTCCCCACAAATAGAGCTTTCTTTTGGTGGTATTTGATCACTTCTCTGTTTTTTATCTTTTGCGCTATAAACAAAAAGAAACTGACAAACTTAAAAAAAAAACGAAATTTTTGACTTTTTTGGTATAAAAGACACCAACAAAAAAAAATGTAAAAAAAAATATCTTCATAAAATTTAGGCCAAAATGTATTCTGCTACATGTCTTTGGTAAAAAAAAAAAATCCCAATAAGTGTACAGTATATTATCATTATCATTTTTAAGGAAACATTTTGTGTAAATGTGTTATAATTGCACTATGGATCCCAAGCATACAGTATTTTATCTAGACCACTAATAGTGAAGTTTATAAAATGCAAGATAAGCATAGAATAGTGAATACACTACATGCCTCCTTTTGCTAAAAAACACATCTAGAAAGGGTAATGCAATTGATTTATTTTGATGACTTTATAAATTTAAAGTGGAGGACAAAAATGTTGCCCTTTTGTAGGGTCTCCAATTCTATGCCTCCACATTGTGCTTAGCACTTCAAAGCTTCCCATCATCATATTTGCCTCTTCATGGGCAATCTTTTCCTCTTTTTCTATACTGTTTTTTTTCCTTACCAAGTAACAGTGACTAGTAAGTTCAATATCCTTAGCTTAGCAGCTGTCATCTCATACCCTATTACCATGCAGAGATGTATCATGTGATGACTGGGGTCAAGTGTTAAGTCCCCTCCTGTGGGTCCCCAGAAGCCTTCACATGCAATAACCTAGACCATCACTTGTACTGCACCAAACCAGAAACAACAGCAGAAAAATACAGACCAATATACTGTAGCTATATTACATTCATATACTGCGACTGTCTGATTGATCACAGAAATGCACAATCATTTTAACCTGTGAAAACAAAACAGAGTGGTTGATATCCTAAACTAGCTAAAATGAAAATCATAAAATCATGGGTACACAATGAATTGTTGTGAGCACCTTTTTCTATTCTATAGGCAGGAGTAGTACCTGTATGTTAAAGGTCGTAATTTACAAATTATTCCCTTGAAACTAAATGAACATTTTGTTTTATTCGGTCCTCTGAGTGTATAATCCCTGCTTTGTACTGCTCTGTCTTTAAATAATATGAGATGTAGTCTGCGTGCATTTGGTGCTGTATTTCACATTCATTTGCACTGCCCAAATGGACACCCAGATGAATGCACATTAAAATACATGGGCAAATACATGGCAAATGAGTTTCAATGTTGAAAAATGTAAAGTAATGCACTTGGGGACTAAAAGTATGAACGCAAATTATTCGCTAGGGGGAGAACCTCTGGGGGAATCTAGGATGGAAAAAGATCTGGGGGTCCTAACAGATGACAGGCCTAGAAATGGCGGGCAATGCCAAGCTGCAGCAAGCAAAGCAAACAAAATATTAGCATGTATTAAAAAGGGAATTTACTCAAGAGATAAAACTATAATCCTGCTGTCCAGTTCTGGTCACCAATCCTCAGGAGGGAGGTGCTGGAACTGGAGACAATCCAGAGAAGGGCAACAAAGTTAATAAGTGGACTGGATGACCTGAGTTTTGAGGAATGACTACAAACATTAAATTTATTCTCCCTGGAGAAGAGATGTTCGAGAGGGTATATGATAGCTATATACAAGTATCTAAATGGTGATTATAGCATAGGGAATAAACTATTCAGTCTCAGGGAGTGTAAGAAGACACGTGGCCACTCCACGAAATTGGAGGAGAGACTGTTTAACCTTAAATTGCGTGTAGGATTTTTCACTGTCAGGGCGGTAAGAATGTGGAACACACAGGTTGGACTGGTGTTTTTATTCAGCCTTACCAACTATATAGCTATGAGTGCTAGACACCATAAGAAAAATGACATTCAGGTGCTGAATTCTGTATCTAAAACCTGTATATACTGGGCTGTCCTGTTGGATCAAAAAACAGGCTGCTGTCTATTTAAACCACAGGACTTTAATTAAAAGATATCTGAAGCTGGCCGTACATGCGCCAGTTGAAGGGGTTGAACACAAAACTGACCCAGTTTTCCCATTAACATATTCACTCTAGAAGCACAAATCATTCCTGCTGTGTCAATGTACATGCAGGGATGAGAGCTCCAATGTATTCGATTCTGCAAACCATGTAGTTGTTCCTTAATGTACAGGTGAAACTCGAAAAATTCGAATATCGTGCAAAAGTTCATTTATTTCAGTACAGCAACTTAAAAGGTGAAACTGATATATGAGATAGACTCATTACATGCAAAGCAAGATAGTTCAAGCCGTGATTTGTCATATTGGTGATGATTATGGTTTACAGCTAATGAAAACCCCAAATCCACAATCTCAGAAAATTAGAATATTACATGCAATCAATAGAACAAGGATTGTACATAGAACAATATCAGACCTCTGAAAAGTATAAGTATGCATATGTACTCAGTACTTGGTTTGGGCCTCTTTTGCCGCTATTGAAACATCCTGGTCTTCCATAACACCTCAGCAGTGCCACATGCTGATAGCTTTCATGCCACACCACATTGAGGCAGTAATTGCTGCAAAAGGGGTCCAAACCAAGTACTGAGTATATATGCATGCTTATACTTTTCAGAGGTCCGATATTGTACTATGTACAATCCTTGTTTTTATTGATTGCATGTAATATTCAAATTTTCTGAGATTGTGAATTTGGGGTTTTCATTAGCTGTAAGCCATAATCATCACAGATATGACAAATCACGGCTTTAACTATCTTGCTTTGCATGTAATGAGTCTATCTCATATATTAGTTTCACCTTTTAAGTTGCATTACTGAAATAAATGAACTTTTGCACGATATTCTTATTTTTTGAGTTTCTCCTGTATATGAGCAGTATTATTTTTGTTATGTTTCACTGTAAACATTATAAAAAAAAAAATTAAAATAAAGAATATTTTAAAAAAACATAGCAACCAGTCATTAGAGTGGCTTCCGTTGAACAGCACTGCAGCCTGTCAGAATAAAATAAACTATGTGCACAAATATTAGGCAAGTTGTATTTGTGAGAATCACTTTCATTACTGAACAACTACAGTGCTCTCGGGCAATCAAAAATGTTAATAAACCTCAAACCTGAATGTTTAAGACAGTAAAAGTGAGTTTTTGGCTTTCTTAGGAGAATATCTGTGTGCAGAATTATTATGCAACCAAATGAAAAAACAAACATTTTCCCATCTCACTTTTAATTTTCATCTATTAAAGGGAGAATAATAAACAAAGTTTACAAATTAACATTTCTGATATAAAAAAAAATCAGTGACCAGTATAGCCACCCTTCTTTTCAATAATAGTCATAAGCCTTCCATTCATGGAGTCTGACAGTTTCTTGATATGTTGACTATCAACTTTTTGTGCAGCACCAACCACTGCATCCCAGACACTATTTAGAGGGGTGTACTGTTTTCCTTCACTGTAAATCTCCGTTTAAGAAGGGCCCACAAGTTCTCAGTAGGGATTAGGTCAGGTGAGGAAGAGGGCCATGTCATTATTCTTTCATCTTTAAGGCCATTACTGGCTAGTCATGCAGTGGAGTACTTTGATGGATATGATGGAGCATTGTCCTGCATAAATATCATGGTCTTCCTGGAAGATGCAGACTTTTTCCTGTACCACTGCTTGAAGAAAGTGTCTTCTAAAAACCGTCAGTAGGTTTGCTAGTTGATTTTGAGTCCATCTTCAACCTAAAATGTCCAAATAGCTCATCTTTAATAATACTAGCTCATACCAGTACCCCGTCTCCACCTTGCTGGCGTCTTAATCGAAGTAGAGCTCTGTGCCCGTTACTGATCCAGCCACAGGTCTATCCATTTGGTCTGTCAAGAGTCACTCTCATCTCATCAGTCCATAAAACCTTTGAAAAATCCGTCTTCAGATATTCATTGACCCAGTCTTGAAGTTTCAACTTATGTGTCTTGTTCAGTGGTGATTCGATTTCAGCCCAACCAACACTGAACAAGACCTTGGCCATGTCTCTTAGCACTGAACACGTTGTACTTCTGGGCACTCCAGGTAGGTTGCAGTTCTGGAATATGATGGCACTGGTTCCTGATAGCTTCACGTTTGATTATTCTCAAATCTTTGGCAGTTAATTTGCGTCTTTTTTTTTTTCAACATGTTTCTTGTCAACATGACCCTGTTGACTGTTTGCAACATAATATTTGATGGTTCTGTGATCATGCCCCAATATCTTAGCAATTTCAAGAGTGCTGCATCCCTCTGAAAGACTATTTACAATTTTTGACTTTTCAAAGTCAGTAAAATCTCTTTTTTGTTGCCTGAGGAAAAGAAGCTGCCTAATAAATATGCAAACTTTGATATAGTGTGTTGATCTCCTTAGGCCACACCTACCCTCATTACACAAATACACATCACCTGATATGCTTAAATCCAATAGGCCAGGGGTCCTCAAACTTTTTAAAAAGGGGGCCAGTTCACTGTCCCTCAGACCGTTGGAGGGCCGGACTATAGTTTAAAAAAAAAAAAATATGAACAAATGCAGACACAGTACAGGAGATGTCCAGAGACTGCGGACATACAACAACGGCAGGAATATTGGGCCGGCCGCTCCATAAGATGCACAGACATTTCCCCCCAAGTGTGTCTTATGGAGCGAAATAGTGCCCCATCATTGGTGTCAGTGGGAGGAATAGTGCCCCATCATTTGTGTCAGTGGGAAGAATCGTGCCCCCTCATTGGTGTCAGTGGGAAGAAACGTGCCCCATCATTGGTGTCAGTGGGAGGAATAGTGCCCCATCATTGTGTCAGTGGGAAGAAACGTGCCCCATCATTGGTGTCGGGAGGAATAGTGCCCCATCATTGGTGTCAGTGGGAAGAATCATGCCCCATCATTGGTGTCAGTGGGAGGAATAGTGCCCCATCATTAGTGTCAGTGGGGGGAGGAATAGTGCCCCATCATTAGTGTCAGTGGGGGGGGGAATAGTGCCCCATTGTTGGTATCAGTGGGGGGAGGAATAGTGCCCCATTGTTGGTGTCAGTGTGGGGGGGAATAGTGCCCCATCATTGGTGTCAGTGGGGGAAGGGGATAGTGTCCCAACATTGGTGTCAGTGGGAGGAATAGTGTCCCATCATTGGTGTCAGTGGGAGGAATAGTGTCCCATCATTGGTGTCAGTGGGAAGAATAGTGCCCCATCTGTGGTGTCAGTGAGAGGAATAGTATGTCATTGGTGTCAGTGGGGGGGAATAGTGCCCCGTCATTGGTGTCAGTGGGGGGGGATAGTGTCCCAACATTGGTGTCAGTGGGAGGAATAGTACCCCATCATTGGTGTCAGTGGGGGAAGGAATAGTGCCCCATCGTTGGTGCCGGTGGGGGGGGAGGAATAGTGACCCATCGTTGGTGTCAGTGGGGGGAGCAATAGTGCCCCATCATTGGTGTCAGTGGGAGAATAATGCCCCATCATTAGTATCAGTGACACCAGTGATGGGGCACTATTCCTCCCACTGACACCAATGACACTTAACTTGCTGATCCCTGTTCCAGCATGGTGCTGCTGAAGCCAGCATACCTGGTTGCAGCAGCACCATCAGCACAGCACACTTACCTGTCAGCTGTCCTTCACTCCGACCTCTCCCTCACTAGATGTTCGCGGGGCCGCTCGGCTCCGCCTCCTCGCAGGTGATTGGCCACCTGTGTGCCTTTCCTGAGCTACAGTCGCCCAATCACCGTGAGGAGGCGAAGCCGAGCGGCAGGAGTGAGGGAGTGGCCGGAGTGAATGAAGGAGCAGCGCTTCCTGGACTGGATCGTCGTGGGACTGGGACCGGAGCCAGGTAAGATAAAGCAGCCCCCTGCCCGCCCCTTTACTTAGTGTCCCTTCTTCATGGAAAATAAACCCCTGCCGGCAGGCTGGATAAATGACCTCGGCCGCATGTGGCCCGCGGGCCGTAGTTTGAGGACCCCTGCAATAGGCATTCAAGTTTATATAGCTTGAATATGTGTAAAAATTATGATTTAGTCAAAATACCCACTTGCCTAATAATTGTGCACACAGTGTAGCATAGCGGGACAGATGCAAGCATCCACATTGCTTATGTGAATGCGGGGATCTGTGAGGTTTTTTTTTTTTTTTCGTTCAACCCTCTGGTTGAAATAAAAAAAGCTCTGTATGTATACCCTGCTTTACACAGTCTTGTGACTCTTCTCCTTAAACCTTCACCCTCCTTTATGTATCTAGAGCTGGCCAGACAAAAGTAAATCTTTATGGACCTTGCTTTGTGCACTGGTTCACAGTCATGTTGGAACAGGAAGGGGCTATCCCCAAACTGTTCCCACAAAATTTGGACCATGAAATTGTCCAAAATGTCTTGGCATGCTGACGCCTTAAGAGTTCCCTTCACTGGCATGAAGGGGCCAAGCCCAACCCCTGAAAAACAACGCCACACCATAATCCCCTCTCCACCAAACTTTACACTTGGCACAATGCAGTCAGGCAAGTACTGTTCTCCTGCCAAAACCCAGACACATCCACTGGAGTGCCAGACAGAGAAGCGTGAGTTGTCACTCCAGAGAACACATCTTCACTACTCTAGAGTCCAGTGGCGGCATGCTTTACACCACTGCATCTGATGCTTTGCATTGCACTTGGAGATTTACGGCTTGGATGCAGCTGCTCAGCCATGAAAACCCATTCCATGAAACTCTGTGCACTGTTGTGCTAATTTGAAGGCCACATTAAGTTTGGAGGGCTTTAGGTATTGACTCTGCAGACCGTTGGCAACCTCTGCGCACTTTGTGCTTCAACATGCGTTGACTCCACTCTGTCATTTTATGTGGCCTACCACTTCGTGGCTGAGTTGCTTTTGATCCCAGTTACTTCCACTTTGTTATAATACCACTACAATTGACTGTGAAATATTTAGTAGCAAGGAAATTTCATGGATGGACTTATTACACAGGTGGCAACCTAGCACTGTACCACGCTTGAATTTAGTGAGCTCCTGAGAGCAATCCATTCTTTCACAAATGTTTGTAGAAGCAGTCTTCGTGCCTAGGTGCTTGATTTTATACACCCGTGGCCATGGAGATGATTGGAACACCTGAATCCAATGATTTGGAGGGATGTCCCAATACTTTTGGCAATATAGTGTATATACATTTTTGCTTGATTGCTATAAGTCGAGCTAGGCATAAACAGTTGCGGGTGTTCACTGCATCCGTTATGTTCACTGGAACATAATCACCTCATGTCTGTAGGAACCATTACAGAATGTCATTACACTTTGAAACACAAATTACAGACCAAAACAAAACAAAATAGTTAGGGCCATCTTTAATGTTGATTGGACCCTGGGCAAAACATTTTTTGTGCCTCCCCAGCCCCCCACTCTGAGACATATAATAACTAGCGGCTAGACTCAAAATCAGTTTACTGAAGCAGATTAGGCAGTGATTGGTTGCCAGAGGTTAAAGAATATCATTACTGCTCACTAACTGCTTGCAGCAAGCATTACAGCTAACTGACTAGTTGTTAGAGCTTACAACACATCATTTCTGCTTGCTGATTGGTTGTTAGAAGTTACTGCACATCATTACTGCTCACTGATTAATTGCTAGAGGGGTGCATTGTGTACGAAGTGCAGGGTTGAGGGGTGCTCTATGTATGGAGTACAGGGTTGAGGAGTGCACTGTGTATGGAGTGCAGGGTTGAGGATTGCACTGTGTATGGAGTGCAGAGTTGAGGGGTGTGCTATGTATGGAGTGCAGGGTTGAGGGGTGCGCTATGTATGGTGTGCAGGGTTGAGGGGCACGCTGTGTATGGAGTGCAGTGTTGAGGGGTGCACTGTGTATGAAGTGCAGGGTTGAGGGGTGCACTGTGTACAGAGTGCAGGTTTAAGAGGTGTGCTGTGTACGGAGTGCAGCATTGAGGGGTGCGCTATGTATGGAGTGCAGGGTTGAGGGGTGCGCTATATACAGAGTGCGGGGTTGAGGGGTGCACTGTGTATGGAGTACAGGGTTGAGGAGTGTGCTATGTATGGAATGCAGGATTGAGGGGTGCATAGTGTATGGAGTGCAGGTTTAAGAGGTGCGCTTTGTATGGAGTGCAGGATTGAGGGGTGAGCTGTGTATAAAGTGCAGGGTTGAGGGGTGTGCTGTGTACAGAATGCAAGGTTGAGGGGTGCCCTGTGTACAGAGTGCAGGGTTGTTCTATGTATGGAGTGCAGGGTTGAGGGGTGCGCTATGTACGAAGTGCAGGGTTGAGGGGTGCGCTATGTATGGAATGCAGAGTTGAGGGGTGCCTTATTTACAGAGTGCAGGGTTGAGGGGTGAGCTGTGTATGGAGTGCAGGTTTATGAGGTGTGCTCTGTACAGGGTGCAGGATTGAGGTTCTCTCTCTCTCTCTCTTCCTCTCTCTCTCTCTCTCTCTCTCTCTCTCTTTCCCTGGCCCCCTCCCTCCTCTGCTCTCCTATAGAGATCGATGTGTAGAGCAGGTAGGGTTCTGAGTGGCTGCCAGGAGAGGAGCACTGTCACTTGTAAATACAGAAGCACTGCTTCTGTATTTAAAAGTGACAAATGAGCAGTGTGGTGGTGGAATTAAGACTGAAAAAAACCCTGGTGGGCAGCGCGGGCTATGGGGGCAACTGATTTGGGCCCCACAACAGTGACTGGGCCCTGGGTAGCTGCCCCTTTTACCCCGCATTAAAGATGGCTCTGGATACACTAGGTACCTTCCTGTTACTAACTTCATTTCAGTCAAAACAGCAGTTGGACAACCATGATCACTTACAGTGAATGCAAACCCTCACATTGTAAAACAACCCATACAGTTTAAAACAGAAATGATAGGCAAAACATTTGTGTAAATACATGAAAAAAAATTATATACACCCTTTTTTTCCAATTTTTCATAAGTGAATACATACCCTCTGTTCTCAGTTGCATAAGAGCTAAGGGAGGAGAAACAGCAACACACTGTTCTTCCCAGTGAAAAGCCTTTCAGGGCTTTTCAGGTGCAGCGGGGGCATGTCAGGACAAGTCTCATCGTTGGAGGAGAGCAGACTGAGTTCCTAGCACAGCTAGAGAACAGACCACAGTGTGTTCTCATGCCTAGTGTAGTCAGTATTTAACAAGAAAGCACAGGAACTGACAGGAACACCAGGGATTTCAAACAAAGGAAGCAATACAAAGAGACCAGGATAAATTTTACACAAGTATATGGTACAGCAGGCACATATCAAGAATTTGAAATGGTGGGTTTACATATTCTTTAACCACTTCCCGACCGGCCGTTGTATATAAACGGCCGGACGGTGGCACTGCAGGGTCGAGTGGCCGTCTATAAACGGCCTTCCCGCACCCTGCTTGTGCGCGCGCTCCCTGGGAGCGCGCAGCACTGCGATCCGGTGCCCGCTGTGTCCTCCAGACACAGTGAAACACCGATCGTTGGACGGGACCTCTGTACGAGGTCCCGATCATGTGATCACTGATTGGCCAATCAGTGATCACATGCAAAGTAGTAAGCAAGATGTCACTTCTGACATCATTGCTTACTATGTGTGAAATCTGTGAATGATCACAGAGGTCACATGGTACAAGGCTATTCACAAAAGCCTTGTACCATGTGACAAGCTGTGACCAATCACAGCTCACTCAGTTCTTCTCAATGAGTGCAAGAATGCACACAGAGAGAAAGAGAAATGATTGCTTTTACATCCTATATGGGTGTAAAAGCAATCAGTGTAAAAAAAAATCTTCATCATCACCCCTCACAAGTAGTACAGTGTCACCATGGTGACACTGTACTGCTAGGGTGACAGTATGTTAAAAAAAAAAATAAAAAAAAAAAATAATAATATAAAAAAATAAAATAAAAATGTAAAAAAAAAATGTTTAAAAATTATAATTTTTGCTTATAAACTAATTTGGATTTTTTTTTTTTTTACTAAAAAGATAACGGAATAAATTTTGGCTAAGATTTATGATGAAATATTATTTATTGCAAAATTTTATAAAAAAACACTTTTTTTTTTCAAAATTTTTGGACATTTCATTTACATAGCAAAAAAAATACAAATCCCAGTGGTGAATAAATACCACCAAAATAAAGCTTTATCTATCTAAAAAAAATGGTAAAAAATTAATTTGGGTACAGTGTTGCATGACCGCGCAAATTGTCATTCAAAGTGTGATAGCGCTAAAAGCTGAAAATTGCCCTGGTCAGG